TATTTGATAAAATTTAATTTACAAATCAGGTCACTCACGGAACTAAACCAGCTGTAAGTATTCCATACCACTGCCTCACGGGTCCTTGAAAACGGCTAAAGCAAAGCCAGTGAACAGAAACTTTTCTGCAGGAAGTTGCTACCTGGGCTCGGGGTAGGAACGCAGGACAACCGTGCTCAGGATGTGAGACAGGCTTTTTCCTGCCGTCTCAGCGTGACCTCACAGCGCGACCTACCCCCATCCGCCCGGGGCTCGCGGCACGCTTGACGTGTGGGCGCCCCGTGGCCTGCCCTCACCCCTCACCGCTGTGTCCTGGTGTCCTGTCCAAAGTACGCAATGACACAGAATGCCAACGCCGGACAGGGCCACTCTGTGGTCAGGATGGATCAGGACACCTGAGTGGGCAAGAGGGAACCTTTGGGACCAAGGACACGGGGGTGGTGCTGTGCTAACTGAGCACACTGTCAGAGCACATCTAACTGAACACATACAAAGGGTGATTTTTACTGCATATAAACTGCACCTCAATAAAAGCAACTTTAAAAAATCGCAGGAAAAAAAACACAAATAGTAGGAGAAAGTCATAGTCTCAATTTGAAATAAAATGGAAAATACATAGATTTCAAGAAGAAGGAATGAATGGATTCCAAACACAGAATGAATCAGCTGGAAAAGACTAGAACGCACACGGGTCTCTCAACAGGACTGCAGAGGAAGGCTTACAGCGGCTCTTGCTGCCGCTGGCTGACTCCTGAGGAGACCAGAGCGGGGAAGCGAGCAAACTGCCCCACACTCAGGCTGCAGCCACCTCTCACCACCCCGCCCTACCACCCCAGGCAATGCAAGAACGCAGGAAGAAGACGGCACTGAGCAAAAAAGACACGACCCAACTATAAAGCAGGTTCAAACGTGGCACGACTTTCGGCAGTTAGTGTAGTGTCCTAAAAGAGAAATCACTTAAAAATCTTCCTCTGCGCGCACAAGTGTGATGGAGGAGGAACTATCACCTGCATCTTACCTGGCTCTGTAGTGAACACCGTCTGCTAATCATAATAACATAAATGCCATGTACGGATTTGAAACTGAGTGAACCGTGGTTACAAAACAGAAAATAAAATTTTCTACTTTGGTAACATTAAGAAACCCAGAACACCAAAGCTGACAGAAGCTGAACAGCGGAGAGTGAGGAGGAGGTGATGGGCAGGGTAGGGTAAGTGGCCAGGTCCACCTGACACGTGGGGAGCCAGGAGACGTCCGAGGTCCAAGAAACTGCCTAAGAATCCGCAGTTCCTAAGACAACCAGCAGGGAACGTGGCTGCCAACCTGGCCGGCTGACCCAGTGCTCCTCCCCAAGTCCCCTTTCTCCTGCCCCCTCTTGCAGAGATGTTACAAGAGTTAAATACTCGCTTTCTCAGTCTGCTTTGTGACTACAGCTGGCCACACAACATTGTTCCGGCCAACGAGATATAAATGAAAATATGCAGAGGCTTCTGGAATGCCCCTGATGAAAACGACAGAAATGGGCTGCACTGCTTGCTCCTTCCTTCCCAGTTGTTATTGCCTTGAACATAGATGTGATGGCCGGAGCTGCAGCAGCCACACTGCAGACATGAATGGTTAGGAGAACTGCAAAGACACCGAACCAGACTCCTGACGTGGTCGTGCTCTGAGCCAGCTCTAGCAAAAACCTACCTTTGCTTTACTTATGAAATAAGTAAATGAATAAACCCCCAGTTGTTTAAGATACCACAGGTCATGTTTTCTGTTACTTTCAGCCAAAAGCACTCCTAAATGACACGGGAAAAGAAGGGAAGGCAGAAGTGCAAGTGAGCTAAATCCTCCCGTATCTAAACTGAAAGTCAACAGATACTGTCCAAAATTAACAAATCAAATAACTGCACGTGTATTATTAAGAAACAGAAAGCACGGCAGTGATTGCCATCCGCACCAACAGCAGAACACCTGCCCAGCCAGCCCCGGAGAACGACCTTTCCAGCCCTTCTGCCATTGGTCATGGCCACGTGATGACAGCTCTACCCACTGGGATGGAAACAGAAGCGTCACGAGGCAGCTTCTGGGAACCTCGCCAAGAGACAGCACACAGGTGCCCTATATCACACCCCCTCCAGCACCTGCCCCAGCTATGGGTGGTTCACACACAGCAGACCGAACACCAGGACAGACGGACACCAGGACAGACGGTCTGGGCCTGGACGGGCGCTGCTGCTTCACCTTCCTCCTGGTGAAGCTCCTCACGCGGCGCCTCTGTCGCCGCAGCCAGTCCTCACACTGGCCAATCCAGAAACACAGGTATCTACAACTCTTTAGAACAATCAGGGCTGCCTCTGGGGAGGGCGAGGACTGCGGACCGCTGCTTTCCACCAAAAGCCCTTCTAAATTACGTGGCTTGTCTGACTTCGGAAGACATCGCTGGTAAAAACTGAAAAACAGAACCCAAGCAGGCCTGGTCTCCTCTCCCGCACCCCCACGTGCCTCCACCCAGCCGGCCTCGGCCCTGCCCCTGCATGCCCCCACCCACCACAGTCGCAGCCCCTCTTGGGCCCACCAGGCTGCTGAGGTCCTCTCCTGCCCCTTCCCCCCGCCCCCTGCCCCCCTCCCCATGCCATCTGCCTGGAAAATACACACCTTTCAAGACTCCTCCCGCCTCCACGAAGCCTGCGGCCCCTACCGCAGGGGGGAGAACAGGCCACCTGCCTCTGGCCCCTACTTCTGTCACAGCAGCAGTAGACACACCACTGTCGTCACCTGCTCACTTCCCTTCCCCCCAGCCATGTCCCCGCCCCAGTGCCCGCCTGGGCAGCGCTGCAGAGGCCTGAGTTCCACCATGATCCAAGAGACCCACCCCTTCCTCTAAGCAGCTCTGGGCTTTGTTCTTCCAGAACGGGCCCCACGGAGCTCTCATCGCCGCTGCCAGCTGCTGCCCCACAAACTTGAGGGAGTGATGGAGAGACCACATCGAATGCCCTAGCCCACGTCCAAAACGTCATCTGTAGACCGTAAGACCAGCAAGGGCCCGCAGCATCCTGGTAATAAGGCGGTCAGGAGACAGCCTTCCAGAATTCTCCATCTGCACAGGAGGGGCAGGGGTTCTCTGATAAATTCAGCATTTCGAATTTTACAGCGGGGTGACTACACAACGAAATCTGTCCACAAGAGGGCACTGCTGTATTTCTACAAGTCCCTCCACGAGGAAACAAGGAAAGAATACCAGATTTTTCCTGTATCTGTTTCTTTTTACACGTTAGTCTTAAGTATCTGGAGCCATTATTTGGCATTTGGTCATGACCAGAGCACAAAACAGCTACAAGAAAGTCAGCAAGCAGCTACTAAGAGCAGCAGATACCACTCTGCACCCAACACTGCAAAGGCAATTGAAGTTTTATTCACTAGAGTCAGACTTTTGAGGTTAACTGTGCACCATTTTGCTTGCAGCCACCCTCAGGCAGGGGTGTGGAGAGAAGGCATGTGAGGGTCCCTCCTGGGCCCTCTCTGCGACACCACCCCCTGGGAGAGGTCCCTACCCCTGCCCTGAGGGTCCCCCTCACGGCCGACGCTGCCTGGAGCGACAATGACTCTTCTCCGTTCCCACCAGCATCAGCGAGTGATGTCCGGCCCGTCCCACCCTGGTCCCGAGGGCCTCGGTCAGTGCCTGCCCACAGATGCAAGGCACCTATCTGCTGGGTGAATGAAAGAGTGGGGGACGCAATACACATCTTTCTTGAACACTGCAGCAGACCCGTGACCTCACAACCCGGAGCGCATCTTCCTGGACGCGCGTTGTGGAGCTGACGCTGATGAGTCAGTCCAGATGACACAAGGACACTTTCTCAGTGGCAGTGACTCATGCCAGAAACTCACTGAGAATCACTCTTCGTTCTCAGCCAGATTTTGTCTTATTTCACTGACCTTCAGGAACGTTTATAAACTGAAGTGTCATCTGTGTTAAATAGGTTATGTTAGCCAGTAAATCACATTAAAGGGGAAAAATGTCAAGTATTTGCCCCCATGTAAGGAGTCCGCCCCCTGCATAAGCGCTGGGTGTCCCTGCAGCGATGCCTCTCCCCACCTCGGGCACTAGGAGCCCTGGAGTCGCCTGCACTCCCGGGGGCCCACGCTTCACGCCGCGGGCGGCCCCTCCCCGGCCCACAGCTGCTCCAGCCTTCAGGACACCCTGCAGGCCTGTGAGGACCTCGACGCCACCCTGTCCCCGACAGCCCCTCCCTGCCACATTCTCCTCTCGGCCAAGCCTTCTGTCAGTGACCGCTGGGGGTGGCGGTGGTGGCCACGTGTGGACGTGGTCTGGTCGTCGCAGGTCTGGGGCACTCTGGCACCGTGCAGGGAGAGGGAGTGTGTGGGACAGCAGGACTGTCCCAGAAACAAAGAACTGTCCTGCCTGAAGCACTACCATGCAGGTGACAAAGAGGTTCATGGTTACTAAGCCCCGTTTCATATATAATCAACTTCCAACACACCCAACCATCCAGAATCGTAACTGCCAAGCGAAAAGCAGGGAGAGCTGCGTCGCGCTTCTCCAAGAATGAATCCACGAGCTGAACGCCATCCCACTCATCTACACCCTCGGTCTGTGTCACCCTTGCAGCGCCTGCGTCTCTGCATTTACAGGCGTGCGTGCACAGGGTCCTCCCGAGAGCGGCGGTGCCCGGCGTTCACATGTCAACACGAGAACTATTTCGTGGTACGTTCTTAATTTCTCTTTTATTACATTTGAGTACGGCTGTAATTATATAAAGTGGTACCTTCTATGATTTCATTTCAGAATAAAAAGGGGAGTTAATCAATATTTGTTATAAGCAGAATGCTGGGGTTGGCGGCAGTGAGACACACCGAGGAAAAGCCCCGGCGTCTGAGCAGACTCAGCGCTTCCCTGGGCCTCCCTCAGATGTGTGCAGCTGCGTAAGTGCTGCAGCGGTTCCACAGCGCAACCCCCGAGACGCCCCAACCTCGGAAGATGTTCTCACCTGTAAGACACAAGAAGCAACTTCAATCTTTTTAAGGAGCAAGAGAGGCAAAGGCAGCAACTGTGCCTGAAACTAGAAATACAGGCTCCCTCCAGCGTCACCGTCAGATGGCAAATGAGGCTACTGACAGGAGCGCTTCCCCCAGTGGAGACTTTTTCTGGCCACTTCCATGGGTTTTTTTTTCTTTTTCAAATCACTCTGAAAAAAAGACTAATACATCAGATTATTGTTGCCAGAATTAGCTCTCATTTTATGAAACAAATACAAAATGTCTGTTCTGCAACTAACATCTGTCAGCACAGAATCAGCAGGAGACGTGCTTCACGACGTTGTGGTATCGGGTCATTCCCAGCCCTCCGTCCTGCTTCAGATGCCGCCTTTTGTCCTTGGTTATTTCTTCTATGCCCTCAAGGACAATTTACTTGTGCAAAGGAACATAAATAACTCGCTTCTCCGGTACATGCTTACATTACATAGAAAACACTTTCTATTTCACTTAAACAGCATAACTAATGAGGCAGTTTACGTCTATGGCACCTTGGACGTAGGTGGCCATAAATCACACTTCACTTGCAGCACTAAAGCACGTCTCACTCTGGGGTTCTCGCCGTCTCTCAACAAACTCCAGCTACAGAGAAACTGATTCAAGATCACTAATCGAGCTGAAAGATGAGCTGTGGTTGAACGTAAGACTCCACCCCTCTGGCACAAGCAGCGGTAAAAGTAACCTTGGTTTTGCCCTCCCCATGTGCCAAAAAAAAAAAAGCATCAGTCGAAGAGTAAGCAAAACCTCTTTTAAAGGCCTCCCTGGGAACCAGGTGCCTGACAGTCTTGACGTCGACAGACACAGAAATGGCAGGGGGGAGGCCTTTCCAGGCGCACCTCTCCTCCCCCACCCGACCCCGTGGGCTCCACGTCTGCCCCGTCCAACGTCCCCCGGCCTAGAGGGTGCTGTGATGCTGCAGACACTTCCCAGCCCCCAGCGAGGGAGCGAACGTACACAGAACGCGCTCCTGCACTCAGCTGCCTCTGGCGGCCACTTCCCTATACTTCTTCCCCGTGAAAAAACCTCCGTGAAAGTTCAACGCTAGACCTTCTGCAGGCCGCAAATTAACCTGACGTCACACTACCGCGATTTTAACACCTGTCTCAACTCCTCTCAAAAGCAGACGCTGAATCATGTAACAGTCACAAAAATAAGTGCTAACGAAATTTTCTTTTAATCACCTCAAGGAAAAGAATTTGCGGCAAAGGCTTCCCAGCAAGTCCAGCGTGGCGTCCCCTCTGCAGGGACCGCGCCGGCCGCTGGGGGGCAGCAGAGCACCGGCCGAGAGACCGCAGGGACCGTAACAAACCGTCTCTGCTGGAAGCGAGCCCATCACACGCATGTTAAATGGCAAGCCAAAGGCTTAACTAATCATCTACGGCAAGCCAGAGGCACTCTTGTTAGTCAAATGGTAGCAGAGATGTACGCGTGTCTGCTCTTACCTCGCACTCAACGTGTTTCTGTTTCCTCGGCCCTTCGGTGCAGGTGGGGCGGAGAAGTCCTAAGTGCGGCGTCTGGTTGGCGAGCTTCCTTCAGGCCCCTCTCCAGCTCTCTGTGCCCAGCCTGAAAGCCTTCCCTCTGTAACAGAAGCATTCCATTACTTTGCATTAATTTAACTCAACAGTAAAGCCTTTTCACCAGTGCAGGAGCTAACTCTAATAATAAATATTGTTAATTAAAAGTCCTCTCCTTGGGAGATGATCCTGCAGGCCACACAGCACAGGCAAAAAAAAAAAGAGTCCTCTCCTAAACATGTTTCACTTACTTTTACTGTACGCTTACGATTTTTAAAGCAGATACCCGATGATCAGTCACGCCTTCACCCCCGCGACGATAGGCAGACAGACGCGCACGTGACAGGCGCCACCGGATCTCTGCTGGCGGACGTGCCAACGCAAACGAGCACCGACCCACGCGCTAAGGAGGGGGGTCTCAGGCAAAGTCCTGTATGGACCTATCTTCCGAAAAAGGGAACGTCACACGCACGGGCCTGCGCACGTGCGTGAGTGCAGACAGACCCAGAGCTGCACGTTCGGCATCCTCCCTGCCCCTTCCCACCCAGGCTCAGGAGCTGAGGCCAGCCCTGCGTCTGCATCTCCATGTTATCTCCCCGCCGACCAGCAGCACGACCGCAACACGCTAAAACACCTACAGAACCTGAACATGGGACGTCTCTATTTTCTTTCTGAAAAACAAACTGATATCCAAATGACGTCTGTGCTGGGCTCCTCCCGTCACCCACCCACAGCGTCACCCACCCCGTCACCACCCGGCGGCCCACCTCCACGCCCGGGGGGAGACAGTAAAGGGGCGCTGCCTCGGTGCCCACTTCCGCGGCAGGTGGGAGTGGGTCGCAGCAGCCGGGACACGACCCCCCGCACTCCAAGGAGAAAGAGGAAGGACCAAGTGCGAACCACTCGGGGTGACGTGCTACTGCAGGAGCTTCACAAAGCGAAAGTCCACAGACTAAAACACAGCGAGGAGAACACGGCAGGAGCGTCACGACAAGAGGTGCGGCAGGAGCGTCACGACAAGAGGTGCGGAGCTGCACTCGGACACACAGAGGAGCCTGTAAACCAAGACCTTTAAATACAAAGTGGTGGAACGGGGAGATGGAGGCTGCCATGCTCCCGGGGGGACTGCAGGGCCGCAAGGGCGGGCTTTGGAGCAGGGCCCTGGGCGGACACCCTGGCTCTGCGAGCGGTGACTCGGCCTCTCCAGCTCCTGGGACAACACGCTCCAGACCCACGGCCCCCTCCAGCCATTTGGGTGACCCCAGCTGCGGTCCCAGTCACCGTGGAGCACAGGCAGGCCGTTCCCTCACACCCGACCCACGACATCACGAGCACAACCAAACGGTGGCTGTTCTCAGCCCCCAGGTTTTGGGGTGGGTAAGTTAGGCAGCAAGAGACCACCGAAATGGAGCTATCACTGCAAACCCCGACAGCACTAACGGAGAGTAAGAGGGTACTAGGAGCTTTATTCCAAAACTCTGGTAAACTGAGGCAGAATGAGCAAATTCCAAGAAAAACGCAACTCATCAGTGCCGACTCAGGAAGAAACAGAAAATCTGACTAAACTACCAACATTAAAGAATTAGAATCAAGAAAGAAAACTCAATGTACAAAGAACACTCCACGCCTAGATGGCTTCTCCAGAAAGTCCCACCCAGCATCCAGCAGGAACACATCTGTGAAGCACATGAAGAAAACGTATGGGCCAAACTCACTCCTGAAGACGGATGTAAAAATCCTCAACAAAACGTCAGCAAACGCAATCCAACAATGTTTTTAAAGGCTGATACAGCATGATCAAGTTGGATTTGTGCTGGGAACACGAAAATGACTGCGTGCATGAAAATCAGCTGATGTAATCCACCACGTTAGTAAGGCAAGAGGGACATAAGAGAATATACCCACGACTCCGTACGTGAAGCCCAATCACAGGCACAGCTAAGCTGGATTCTCAGGGGTGCACGCTCCGTGGTAAACTAAAAAGAACGGCAAGGACAGGGTGACTCTGAAACACAGGACAGCGGCCATATGGACAGGGAGGGAGGGGCAGTGGTCAAGGAGACGGAGACACAACGTCTGTTTTTAACCCGGGGGGCGGCTGCACGGACGTGTCATCAGAACTACTCTCTTGGGCTTCCCTGGTGGCGCAGTGGTTGGGAGTCCACCTGCCGATGCAGGGGACACGGGTTCGTGCCCCGGTCCGGGAAGATCCCACGTGCCGCGGAGCGGCTGGGCCCGTGAGCCATGGCCGCTGGGCCTGCGCGTCCGGAGCCTGTGCTCGCAACGGGAGAGGCCACAGCAGTGAGAGGCCTGCGTGCCACAAAAATACAAAATAAAAAAGGAACTACTCTCTTACACCCGCACTCTTCTGCGGGAACCACACAGCTCACAACACAGATGCTTGAGAAACAACCAGCACGGAAAGCAATCCACGCCTGCAGTGTCCACGGCATCCAGGAGCATCGCCGATCATGACGGAGCCCCGCACAGCCAGCCCGGGAACCACGGGGGCGAGGGCACCGACCGCCCGCAGTCGGGCTGGTCTGCCACACCCACGCACGGCCCCTCAGTAGCCGCGGGTCCTCTGCGTCCGCAGGCCGCGCAACACTGTAGAACCGACGGCTGGTCGAAGTCCGAGCGGGCCACACCCATGTTGTTCCAGGGCCAACTGCAGCCGCCACACAATGGACCAGGATGAAGCCCGTGGCGGCGGCCACCACCTGCAGCAGCAAGAGGGCTGTGGCGGCAGGACCGCGAGGAGAGTCAGGAGAGGCAGCTACCGGCCAAGCACCTGCAGCAGCAAGAGGGCTGTGGCGGCAGGACCGCAAGGAGAGTCAGGAGAGGCAGCTAGAGGTTTCCTACTTCCTGCAGAAGACAAGAAGAAAGACCCTGTGGGGAAAGGCGGGGAGCTTGGGGAGCCAGGCTCTGGGGGGAAGAGGCCAGTGGTGAAGCAGGGCTGAGTCAGAACCCTGCCCCGTCTCGTTCGCCTGGATGCACCATAGGAAACGGGCAGAGCACGGGACACCCTTAAACCCCCAAACGGGGTGGAGGTGGGGTGGGACACACAGAGGAGCCCCGCCAGCTGGTGGCTCCGTGGCCTCCGGCCCTGACACGTTCAGGCACCACCGCCTCTGGAGCCTCCTCCTGGCGACTGCGCCTGGGTCGGGACACCCTCCTCTGACAGCGGCATGACCCCAAATTAGTTGGGCTGGAGGGGTTTCTACAGCGGGTTCCAGCCACCTCTCTGCTGACAAGAGGAGTTCAGATGCCACAGCAATGATGATAAAACAGGGGTCACGTGAGATTTAGCGCGCCTCGTACTAGCGGCAAGTCCAGAACTCGTTGTATTAAGATAAATGCCTCACTCAGCACTTGGTGGGTTGCTGTGCCCTGATGATCCCATTGATTAAACGAAGCAATTGCATTTCCTTTTAAAGTGCTATTTATCGGTATAATTTAATGAGACTGGAAATTAGGGCTTAACCCTGCCACAAAACAAGTGCTCTCATTTTCTACCTTGGAGGTGTGTAAACCTGTTACATGAGCGTGCAGATTCTCCGATGTTCAGAGACACCGATTGTTCCAGATACAAGGCTTGTGTGCTCAAGGCGAGTGAACAGGTGAACGATCACCTGAGGGACGCCGAGACAAGCAGCGGCCTCTCCGCATCGCTGACAGCGGCCACTGCGTTAAGTGCTTATTAACTAGTCCTATGAACAGGTACCCACCAAAGAAGGATGGCGAGCGGACGGGCACCGGGAAGAGAGGCTGCAGGTGGCGCCCGAGACACGGAGCCAGGGCAGGGAGGGCGCCGATGCCCCTCCGCTGACACAGAAAGCAGGAGGAGTCCATCAGGATGCTTCTGGTGAGAGGGAGAGGGGAGGCCTCTCAGGAGAAGCTGGCATGAGAAAGAGGAATCCAGGCTGTGTTTTCAGAAAGATCACGCTGACAGCTCCGTGGGCAAAGGCCAGAGGGTGAGGCTGGGACAGTTAGGGGACAGAGGGATTACAGAGACGGAAAACGTCAGAGGTATCTCAGAGGTGCAACGGACAGGCCTTGGGAATGAGGCCTGCAGGGGGAGGGATGAAACGAAGCCGGAGTGTCTCCAAGGATGCTGGTCCCTTCAAAGGGGCAGAGAGGCTTTCCAATAACCAATGTGAGAAAAGCAAAAGAAAACAGGAAATTTTAGAAGGTGGGTGTTTTCAATTGTTCTGAACTATGAAAACCTCTGCAGTACATTAACTGGGGTCGTTGGTATTTCAGCTTCAACAAGGACAAAACCTTTCCTGGCTGAGATTCCATAAGAATAAAGTCAATTCTAGTACGTGAACTGCTATGGAGAGAAGTGAAAGCTTCACGTGGTAAAACTGCAATGAACACTTAACTACAAGAACGTTCAACTAATCAGTACAAATCCCAAGGAAGGGGAACCGCCCTTAGACAATATCACGCAGTCAGGGCTTGATAAACGGGGCAGGGAGGGGGGCACTGGCCCTCAGTTCCTCTGATACTTCTATGAAGAAAGAAATGCCCAAGGAAATGGTAGTCTAGTCCAGAGGTCTTGGTTTGATTTAATCTTTTTTTTTAAATTTATTTATTTATTTTTGGCTGCGTTGGGTCTTCGTTGCGGTGCGCGGGCTTCTCACTGCGGTGGCTTCTCTTGCTGCGGAGCACGGGCTCTAGGCGTGCGGGCTTCAGTAGCTGTGGCTCGCAGGCTCAGTAGTTGTGGCACATGGGCTTAGGTGCTCCGCAGCATGTGGGATCTTTCCGGACCAGGGCTCGAACCCGCGTTGCCTGCATTGGCAGGCGGATTCTTAACCACGGCGCCACCAGGGAAGCCCCTGATTTCATCTTTTTTGTATGATTTAAACTCCATTTGGAATTCCCTGGCAGGCCAGTGATTAGGACTTGGTGCGTTCACTGCCAGGGCCCGGGTTCAAACCCCGGTTGGGGAACCAAGATCCCGCAAGCCGCGCGGCGCAGCCTAAATAAAGTCCATTTGGGAAGTGCTCTACACGGCACATTCTGTTCCGTGACGTCTGAGAACCACACTTGTCACTGCTCCCGCGCAGGGCCCACTTTGGTCTGAGTCAACGGGATTGGGTCCAGGTCGAGAACACTGGATCCACCTCGTCCTGAAGGCTCAACCAAACACGTTTCTCACATGACCTTGGTACCTCCCAACAGTGCCTCAATTTACCAACCTTTCATTTCCCCTGCATTTTGGGCTTAACAGACCAACCAAAATGGACTTTGTCATTTGCTCTACTTAGTGAGTTAAATACATTCCAGGTTCTGAGCAAATACGCATAACGTACTTTCCCTCATAAGCAAGATTCCTTTGGGATGAAGCACTGCAACAACGTGGCTGGGTCTCTGAGTCATCACGCCGAGTGAAGCAAGCCAGACCAAAAAGGGACGTGCTGCCTGACCCATCCGCGTCAATTCCAGAAGGTGCAAAGGACCCACTGTGGCAGGAAGTGGGCAAGTGGGGTCGTGTTCATGACCTTCACAGGGCGCTGCTCCCACGGGGTCTCGAGACTCATCCAGTTGTATACGTCACAGGGTACAGGGTCTGGGCACGTGTCAACCGCACCTCAAAAAAAGCTGTTTTTAAAAGAGACTACTTTGGGAGATCAGCTGGGTGCTTTGTGACCACCTAGAGGGGTGGGATGGGGAGGGTGGGAGGGAGGGAGACGCAAAAGGGAGGAGATATGGGGATATATGTACGTGTATAGCTGATTCACTTTGTTATAAAGCAGAAGCTAACACACCATTGTAAAGCAATTATACTCCAATAAATAAATTAAATAAATAATTAAAATTTAAAAGACTACTTTGTTCTGAATTTTAAAACCCCTCTTCCTATTTTTTGAAGTGAATTGGTAACATTACTGGAAATATTTTTATGACCTGAAGGAAATGTTATTTTTTCAAACTTTCAACCATCAAATACTTCATGGGAAATTAACGCGTGTTGCAAACATTAAAACAATTCATTAAATAGGTGGGAGACTGCTCCCTATCTCTCTATATTTTATTGTTTTATGATGTTTTTTAGAGAAACCCAATGTTCCCACCAGTAGGAATGAGCCCTGCGTCTCCACAGGAAGAAAGCAGGGATGGAGTGGGGGAGAGAGAGACAGAGACAGACAAAGAGAGACGGAGAAACACAGAGAGACACACAGAGAGAGAGGGACAGAGAGTCACAGAGAGAAGGGGAGCGAGGAACAGAGACAGAGGCGGGAACAGAGCGGGCGAGCAGGGCGCTGTCACCGCAGCGCCCAGAGCACAGCCTCCCCCTGCCTCTCCTGCACTCAGGCCCAGGACGATGCTGACACCCAACGAAGGCAGCACCGGCCGCACCCAGCACAGAAAAGGGGCGACTCAGTCCCGGGCTCAGCGGGGACGGCCTGAGTCTCCAGGACGGCAGGTGCAGCAGGTGCGGAGGGACAGGCGCTCGGGGCCTCCCTGTCCTCAGCTCCTGTTCCCTTCAGGACAAACCAGCAAGGCCAGCGGGTGAGCGAAAGAGGGGTCTTTGCAGGGGAGCCCAGAGGCATGCGGCCTAGACTCCTCCATCCCAGCCGACAAAGCACAGGACCAAGAGAAACGTGAGGAGGACCCAGGGCAGCAGGCGAGGGGGGCCTGGCCCAGAGGATGCCCGCCCGCCCTAGGGCCACAGCCGCTGCCCACAGATGCCGGGAAGCCCACCACGACGGCCCCGCCCACCTCCCCCCAGAAACCTGGACTGGATCATGAAGAGAACAGCCGGAGAAAACGAAAAGCCCTCCAGACTGAAATGCACGAACCAAGTACACAAAGGAGAGTGAAAGGAAGAATTAAATGCAAAGGAACACTCAGGAGGCTTCCTGTAACCGAGAGAACAAGGACCCGAGACCCGCACAGGCCAGAGCAGGTGAGGAGAGATGTTAGGGGCAGCGGCCCCGGGCGGGGGAGCGCTGAGACCGACCATACACTTCAAGGTCTAAAAATACCAATAACGTGGAGACTTCCCTAGGGACGTGTGTCCCTGGGTGACAACAGCGCCAGCTTCTACCGTCACATCCTGCGTTACATAAACTTGGGACATCCACCAGCCACACTCGATCAGATTCATGTCAAACTAACACGTTCTCATTAGCTCTTAACTAAAATCCAACCAAATGTGATATCTCTGTATTGCTTAAGTAATGGTATAACTTTAAAAGTATTCGGTACGGTTATTTATCAAATACTGACAATTAATATATTCTATAATCCGCTGCAAGGAGATGAGCTGTCTAAATAGGAAAAAACCTTTAATCATTTTTGATAGAAAGTTCTCAAATCTGTCTCTTTGCTCTTACATAAGATGAACTAAATATAAGTTTTTAACCAGAAAATGCCCTTTGGTTAGGGAACAGAGAGGAGAAAAGGGCAGGTCCTTAGAAGGAAGGAACCTCCCGTGGTGGGGAGACCAGCCTCCCTGGGTAAATAAATGAAAGTAGCTATTATAAACTTAGACCCCAGAGACCAGGAGGCCGGGGCCCGGGAGGGATGGTAAGACCCCCGCCAGTGGGAGGGGAGGGGGCAGATCCCCTTCCACGGTGAGAAAAGCCAAGACATCTCGAACGGCACCTCGGGCCTCTGCCAGCAGCGCCACACGAGGGTCCATCTCAGAAGGAGGGGGGGGTCGCGGAGAGAGAGCAGCGGGAAAGAAGCAAGGTGGGAACAGGCGGCTGTGAACCTCACAGGCCCTCAGAGGAGGGAAAGGGGGCCACGCTTCCTGACTCTCCTCACAGCCGCTGTGACCTTGGCTGGAAACCCATCAAGGACGTTGCAGGAATTAAAAACTACTGCCAACTTCTGTTACAAACAGAGACACAAAAACCGTAACCAAAGTACGAGCAAATTCAAACCCACGCACGTCTGGAAAAGAGCACGTCACAACCAAGTGCGACGTGTCCACACCAAGAAGCGGTGGCTGGCTGAAGTCTGAAAGTGAATCAACACTCCATGTCGCCAGTGACATTTCTACTCAAGAGCACTTTCACTCGGACTCCTCAGTAACCCCAACTGGCATCTCCCTCAATGTCCACTGGTGTGATGAACCCGGTACTCTGCTCAAAAACCACACCCCACTGTGGAAGAGAACTGAAAACAAGGAGAGAAGAAATACAGAAGCTGAGAGGATGAAAAACAGTATTTCTGCCAATCATGAAAATAAAGACCGAGCACATAAAAGCCCCCGCCCCCCGCTTCCTTCCCTGGGGAGGAGGAAGGGCGACAGGGCTCGGTGTCCGTCAGGAAGTAGCAAGAAGACCCACAGGGTGAGGCAGGGGGGACAGCCAGCTGGCCACGTAGCCTCTGTCCTCTGTTCTCCACACATGGGACGGCCTCCCGGTGGGCGCCGGGCAGAGGGCTGCTCCACACTGTTCCTAGAGCAGGGGTGCGGAGGGTTCCCCAAGTCCGTGGAAAGAGTGAAATTAGACACAAAATGGTGTGTCTGTGTGTCCAGGCGCATCTTCCCAGTGAAAACGGACAGGGCTTCAGTCAGATGCCCAAAGAGCCCCTGGCCTGCAACCTGTTTCAGGCGAGGATCTAACCACTGGCTGTGACTGACCCCAAACCCAGTCCTCTCTTTGGCACTTAACCAACAAAACATGAGGGCCTTTCCTTTTCCAATACTAGTTGATGGTAACCTATGAAGTGTTATTAAGGAGCACGCAAATCTGTAATTCCTAACGCACAGCTGGGGCGTCCCGAGTTTGCAGACAGAAGTGTGGTCCCCACACCCAGCACAGGCGCCCGCAGAGGGCCACGCGTCCCACGTTCAGGAAGAACACTTCATTTTCGACGACAGCTTTAATTTACCATGGATTTCAATGGCTGCTATTGTTATTTTTATCGCTATAACTTTAGCTTTGTTTTATCATTTCTCATTAGTTTAATATGGGTTGTTTGTATACACAGGGATGAAAATTTTGTCAGCTTTCTGGAACGATAATTTTCCAAAAACTAAACTTACCAGCATCATAAATCATCTCCGACTTTACTGCAAAACACATGCACAGAACCGCTCCGAATCGTAGGGGTACAATGAGGTAGAGATGTCTCATTTATTGGCAGTGTGCTGACTCCCAGTATATGAAATGTAACTAACTATCAAGGTAAGCGTAACCAAATTACCCAGCTATTTTTAAGTTTATGGGGCACTGTTACATAATACAAAATGACAAGTTAAAGTACAAACCGTTTCTTAAAAGATTTATATATGCTGCTGACAAATTTACTGGAACTGCCTCATTTAATTTCTTCCCAATCCTTTGATAATGTTGAGCAATTTTTCCAGGGGAAAGAAACCCCCGCCCCCCCGTTCAAGATGTTCAAAGGTACAGAACCTTGCCACTAACAGTGATCTAAAGACTTTTAATTGTAAATAGTGGCAAAGTCCACATCTTCCTTCCTTTCTTCCCAAGGCCCTGGTGAAAGGTCAGAAGAGGTACTTCCTGGCCATGAAGGAGTCGTAACAGTGCTGAAAAATTACAAAGGGGGCTTGCAGCCCCGGCAGCTGGGACGGGCGGTCATGGCAGACAGCAGGCGGACCCAGGCTGACTCGCGGAGTGGAAGGAGCCGTGTGCAAGACAGCGGGGTGCGGCTTCCCAAGAGCCAGGAGCCAAGGGCAGGGCTATGACTCCCGGACCACAACTTGAGAATACTCTGCAAAGACAGTCTGAGGTTTCCAAGGCGGCGGGGCGGGGGCGGGGGGGTGTCCAAGTATGGTCACTTGGACCTGGAAGAGAAGCGTATCAGGGTGAAGAGTAACTGTGAGTCAAATAACAGCACTGGAGGCCACGGCAGGGAGACAAGGAGAGAGCAGGAGACATCTACCTGCAAAAGGACGAGGGTCGAGCTGCCACCTGATTTCTCACTGGCAACACCAGACTCCGGAAAACACCAGAGCATACTGTCTGAGCTCCAAGGGAAAACTGTAAGAACCGAGAATTCTAGACCCAGCCAAATTACCAATCAAGTATGCGAACAAATAAACCACATGTTTGAACACTGCACGCAGTAACCCAAGAAGTCTCTGAGCCATGCATTCCATAAAGAAGTGGATTAAGCTGGGGCGAAGTGAGAGCGGCATTGACATACATACACTACCAAACGTAAAACAGTTGGCTGGTGGGAAACAGCAGCACAGCACAGGGAGATGGGCTCGGTGCTTTGTGACCACCTGGAGGGGTGGGGTAGGGAGGGTGGGAGGGAGGCTCAAGAGGGAGGGGATGTGGGGACACGTGTATGCATATGGCTGATTCACTTTGTTGTGCAACAGAAACTAACACAGTATTGTGAAGCAATTATACTCCAACAAAGATCTATTTAAAAAAAAAAAAAGAAGTGGATTAAGGAGGTGCTCCAGCAGAACTACAACGGAATTTAAGAAACAAACATCATGGGACGTGAGAAAGCAGAGCAGCTGGAGCAGCCAGGGGCAGCGCCGAAGCCCGAAAGGAAGTCAGGGGCTACGTCTGCACATCCTCCTTCCCGGGCAGGAGCTCTGGGATGCAGAATTACGTTTTCTGCCTTCTCCACTCAAGCTATTAGGCTCTGCAGTAGAATATATTTATACCATCATGATACTTTACACTTTGCTTTCCTTACGTTAACATTTCTGGACTAAAGCTGTGGAAAAAGCACAGAAAGCCTAATGATAGATGGGAAACAGACTACAAATGTTTTAAGTTTTGCCAATAGAAATCTAAAAATATAACCCACAAAAGCCAGGGACTAGAGAGGCACTGCTTGCTGGTTCCCCACGTGAACAGGAGTGAGGCAAAGTGACGGGGTAAAGATAAGAAGGCTGTGAAAGCAGAGGGAGAAGACGCACACCATCACCTGTTCACCTCTGGGGAGAGCAGAGAGGAAGAGGGAACGTGTAACTGCATTCTCGCTCAAAGGCGGGCCGCATGTAAGAAGGTTAACATTTAGTTAAGAATACCTTTAAACACCTGTTAAAGCACCAGTT